TCTGAATAATTCTCGCAATTTACAGAGTAGTGGAAGTTTCCTTATACAGTCTTATCGAGATCCTGACTTGAAGAAAGACAAGACATTTTATTTTCTGCTTAATAAATCTTGTTTCTTGTGTAAGATTCCAGCTTGAGTCAAAGAATAGAAAAAGCAAAAGTATTTGGATTAAGAAAGCTTTCTCGGAAAAGGCAGTCAGACGCTAATTTCGCCAAGTTTTACCCGGCTTCTCTTCGGGAACACGATGCAATTCAGTTTAGGCTCACATGGAATTTGAGCTCAAAATAAGTACACAGCAATTTTACTCACATCTATTAACTCTTTCAATTGCTGTGTACTGACGTGCTTGGCCTATTGGTTATAGACATTTACTCGCGAAAGGAGTGATCACAGGTTCAATTGCTGTCTACGTCGTTCTTTTTTTCTATTTTTTAAAACTCTCTAGCATTGAAAAGTGGGATAGGAAACGAAAGCAAAGATCGTCGTCTCTCATAAGGAAATGAGTTCTCTCTTTCGGTAGCTATTTCGCGCCATACTTAATTAATGGCATTTTTAATGAGAAAGTTTGGCGCCTTTTCTAATATTTCAACGGTCATTCTACTTTGCTGTGACCTGCTTATTTCATTCTCGGCAATTGCAACATTAAAAGTCCTTTGTAAGAAGTTACCTGCCAATAGTATCTGCCAAAAATGGCCGTCTGTGATTATATTTTTTCTTTTCTGTTCATTGAATAAGAATTTATGCAATGTCTTTGGAGTTCAACAGATGTCGCATGATTTCGAACATGATCGTCGACCGCAGATATTGCATATAGTAAAAAGCATTTCCTTAACTTATATCTGAAGTAATATCTTCGCGAGAAGGGAAAAGTTCAAATTAGATATTAGATGATTCATTCTATGTTAATAATAACCTGCATCTCATCGCATGAAACCACACATATGAAATACGGTTTTACTCTAATTGTGAGTTTTTCCTCAATTCTGTTTAAATAGTATTGTTTCTATATTTGTTCTGAAACCGTGAAACAAGATTAAAAAAGTTGAAGAAGGCAGGATAAGAAAGATCAGAATGAACTGAGACACTTTTAAAAGCTCAAGGTGTTTGAAAAAATTTATCTGTGGATCCAGTAACGTCTGTCGCTTAGTATGCCTGAGGCATCTAAATATATTAGTGACGGTTATTTCTACATATCAGAAAGGTTGAAAACGAACCAAGTAAAATTAATTGATGATGAATTCATAGACTGAAGTTAGCATAAATATTGTACAGCATTGTTCCTAACTATAAAAATAAAATAATATAACTTCATACCCTAGTAAAAATCTTAGACACTTCTTGAAATCACCTTATTAAGATCTAATAAAATCTTATTTTTTAAGATTTTGATAAGATAATCTAAGATCTTAACAAGATTTAATGACTTTACTTTCATTTACCCCTTTGTTTTGCTTTCATTCATCTATATACGTAACATCGAGAATATGAGTTATTTTATGGTTATTTTTCTTCCAGACTCTGCTAATATTTGCTCTCTCGAAAGTGTTTAACTGTTTTTCAGAGAGTGTACATGCAGGTCAAGACCCATAGTTGGACACCCGAAAATATGAAATTTCTCTTCATTCTTCAACACTATTCAATTGCTACTTTGGATAATGTGGATTAAATTCAAAACTTTTCAGCCAATCTCGAACGAATACTATATAAAAAAACGTCATCGCTCGTACTATTAAGATCCTAACAGATTCTTATCCAATGTTGAAAAAATCTTAGACAGTATAATCCTGGTGAGATCTTAGAGAAATCTTATCAAATCTAGAATTTTCGGGTCTCATGATCTTAGTAAGATTTGTCTAAGATCTTAAGCAAAATCTTACTAAGATCTTAATAAGATTCGAGTATGTTTTTCACTAGGGAAGCCACTTTGTTGACACAACAATGAACAACAGATTTGCACGTTTTCCATGCTATTCTTGCTGGTGATTTCATAGTGGGCTCAAGAACGGTGTAGTCTTTTAGCTGCAATATGCTGATTATAGAAGCTGCGTTGTTGATAATGAAAGTGGTGAAGTCAGCGCTTGCAGTGGCGTAAAGTATTGTGTAAGAGTTACTATCGGAATATAACCATTTAACGTTGGATTCAGTCTTCTTTAGCACCTGGAGACAATCCATTTCGTTTGAGATCAGTATGTGTCCAACAGGTTCGTATTCAGAGATTGTTTGATTGCTATCGAATAGAAAAATATTCCTTGTCCATGTTTGGGGCTTTGACAGCGAAAAAACATATCGTGGAAATCAGTCTATTTCAAATCGTTTAACTTCTGCAAATTTACCGCATCCACGAAATAAGAACAACCGAAATTCGATTAGGATCATAATCGATCATAAAGGAGCTTGTCCAGATTCGGATATGGTAGTCGAGGTTGTTATTATGGGAACAGCGACCATTAATGGTTAATTAATCATGTTTCGTAGGATACTTATACCGATTAATTGTCGACATTTTCAGTGAATTCACCTTAAACTACTTTCAATTCATCTTTTATCTGTTATCAACACCGTGAAAAAACGTGTTATGACAGAACAAGTAAAAAAAAGAACCGTTAAGAGTTAACCATTAATGATCGCTGTTCCCCTAGTAACAGCCTCGACTACCATATACGAATTCGGAAAAGCTCTTTTATGACCGATTATGGTCCTAATCAAACTGGGAATGCAAGAAAACCAACAGGAAGTCGCTTTTATCAAAACCCAAGTTTAAAATACTGCGATAAAAAACAAGCATCCTTCATTTTTAAAAGTTTAATATCTCGTGAACCTTACATGGTACATTCTTCAAAATTGTAGAGAATATAGGTCATGTCCCGCTCTATAATAATAATCTTAGGTGGTTTGTCGAAAGAAGGGAGAACATGTTGTAAAATTCATCGCGGTGGTGATCAATTCGCACTGAGAGTGGCGCCAAATCCGATAATTTTACTGGGAGTGTAAAAATCATTTTTCTCGGGTTCTGCATCAGCTATGAAGTCAAAAAAGATAGTTTCTTAACGTAATTTGATGTGCTCTATAAAACTAGATTGGTCTTAAATGAAGCGGAAAAACTTTAGTAAAACGTGGGAAACTTCAGTTGGATTTGCCTCGAAATTTGTATGCCTCGCGAGGGTTGCGAGACGCGTCTCAAAAAAACGGCAGAAACGAATATAACTTCAATTAAATGCGAGAATCATTGTATCGTACTTTCTTTGGAAACAAAAAACGCAATTCCTACATAACGAGTTTATTGCGTTTTAGTACTCGGTGAGGATGAAAACGAAATCTTCTTTTTACAAACGCGAGAAATTAAAGTTATTCAAACTCGAAACGCAACTTTCTACAGGTGTAGAACACAAAACGCGACACACAGTGAAAATTTGAGTTCAAAACGGGTTTTTCACTGACTTATTTGATATAGAAACGCCTAATTTCGCGACTTCAGTCTACGAAACTAGTTTTACGTTTCAAAGAAACAATCTAATAAAATCTGAAAAAGTGAAACACATTTTTCAAATTTCATTTCTAACCCAAACGCGTTAAATTCGCTTCAAGTGGCGAGTGTAGCGAGTCTTCAACTCTATTTCGACTGAAAACGCGTTTTTAAAAGTTTTGATGGTCATAAAGGCGTTTCTGGCGAAATATTAATGGCAAAAACGCGGTTTTGAGTAAGGTGTATATTTAAAGCTCAAGAAGTTCGCCGTATTCATGTTGAAAATATATATTCTCGCGCTCTATGAATGCTTAAATCGCGTTAAACCCAACTGTCAAAAGATATAGGTGAGTGACAAGGGTTGCCTCCGTATCTTCTCAGTAGATGGAAATAGTCCTGGATGTAGATAGTCGATTTTACTTTATTGCGATTTTTCAGATATTCATGTGACGATACAGTTGACATTTAGGACTGCTACAAAACAATTTTTAGCCCTTCATATCCTCGCTGTTTTTACCGAGTTATGAATTTTTCAATGTTCTATGTAATGATATATATATCTGCAAAATAGAAAAATTCATAACTTATGAACGAAGCAATAGGGGTACGTATCCTTTCAGGGTGTTTGCTAGACCACTATACAGGATCTATGGGCAAAAGATCCATGAAATCGTAGGGCGACATCTGAAAAGGGTCCCTCGTAAGATAAAAACTATCAACTGTGTAGTTAAATTTTATCTGAAGAACGAACTAATTCTGCTCATATCCTGTTTGTGTGTTTGATTATTATAAAGAGGGGGAAAGCGAGGTAATTATACATAGTGCAAATGCGTTTTATGATACTAAAGAAGCAAGAAAGGTATAGTTTTTGTTCTGTACTCCATCTAATAATAAAAGGCTTCTTTTGGAAGAATGAGTAACTTTCGAACGGAAAATGCTAAAAATGTCTCCTTTTTATGTTCGTATGTAAAAATTTTGCTCTATCTGCGTATTAGATTCACAGGGGCGCCGACGTTGTCTCATTGTCATTGTGTTGTAGCTTTCTTTTTATCAAACTCAGACATTAATGCAACTAATTTTTTAAGAATTAAATGTAAAAACAAAAAAAGATTTGTCCAAAGCTTAACCGCGTAACCGATTATACTCTATCCAACATTAATAGTTTTACCTCCATGGAACACTCGCTTGATACCAACCTGTTTCTACCTATTTACTTTCACAAAAATGAATCTCAATGCCTGACTTTTTCCTCAACGTTCCAGATGGTTCTTTTATTTTGGAATGAGCCGTAGTTACTCTTACTGAATGTCTGCACTATTACTAAATGGAATGATTTCTCCATGAACCTGACAAAATTTCTGAACTTCAATAAACATTCTAATTCAATGAATACATATCATTCGTTCAGAAATCTTTTCGAAAAGTGTAATTTGTTCAGATGTACTATTCCATTGTAATCATTTTACTTAGATTTTTGCGAAATAGAAATTAGATAAAAACAAAACAGTTAAAACAATAGTTGTTAAAGAGGCATAGTTTAGATAGATGTTGGAATTAATAAGAACGGCAAAAAGAACATTTTGTTTGTAACTAATAATTGTGAAACCTGTCTTATTTGACTAAATAATAATAACATTTGTGTCATACGCACTGGTTGCTCTGAAAAAGTGTTGGCTTCATAGGCTTGTAATATATCCAAATAAGAATTTTCTAATGAAGCTAATTCATTTCTATCAATATTGTTCAACATTACTTCATCTAAAATAGATAAGAACGTCATTCGTATATAATGATCTTCATTCGCCTTTTTCATAAAACCACCTACCGTATTTAGCGACAAGTAGAATACTGATTGATTCAACTTCTACATCAGTTAATTTACAATTTATTGCTAAATGAACAATTTCAACAAATTTTTCAATGATACATCGAGTGTATTGATTTTCTTCCATTCCGTAGATGTCAGTGTTTGCCTTTTTCTCAATGTTTAAATATTTTGATAAACGTTTTGGATGTTCATTATAGAATAACAGAAGAGATGGTACACTAATTGTAATTGATAAGAAATAAATAACAAAGAAAACCAATATATCAGCCCATTTATCTCGTAATATTAGATTATTTAAATTATCTGATAATTGTTTATAAAATGGTAAATCTTTGTACCATATAATAAAATGATCAGTCATTNCAGTGTTTGCCTTTTTCTCAATGTTTAAATATTTTGATAAACGTTTTGGATGTTCATTATAGAATAACAGAAGAGATGGTACACTAATTGTAATTGATAAGAAATAAATAACAAAGAAAACCAATATATCAGCCCATTTATCTCGTAATATTAGATTATTTAAATTATCTGATAATTGTTTATAAAATGGTAAATCTTTGTACCATATAATAAAATGATCAGTCATTGAATTGCATGTTTTTTTTATTGATAGTGACAAATTTTCACTGTTGTTAACATCCAATAATTGTTTTAATAAATCACACATAATGTCTTTAGTTGATAATTGATCAAAACGGTATGTTTCCCATTTATATGTGGATGGAAAGGAAAAAGATGAATTGAGTTTTTCTTCCATTGTTGATTTTAAATCAGAAGTTGTCATTATATCATCTCCAACAACCATCGATGAATCAATATGTTGTGGAGATATAGTTTGAGGATATGCTTGCCCATTTTTATACTTGACAAGACAAAAGAAAGAATATTATAAGTAATCTAGAGCACTTCTATATTTAATATACATACCTGACAGAAATATGGTACGATATTTGGTATTCGTCTACTAGGCACACGATCTAATCGTACGGCACCGATCATCATACCACTTATTAAACATTTTTGAAATCGACAATATTTACAATGATTACGTTGTAATTTATTGATAACACAATTTCCATGTGAACGGCAACGAAATTTTCGTCCATTCAGAATAGTACGTTTAAAAAATCCTAAAAAAAGGAACAGCATTATTTATATTAACTATTAATTAGGACAAACTGCAAACAATTTACCTCTACATCCTTCGCATGTTAGAAGACCATAATGTACGCCTGTTGCATAATCTTTGCATACGCCACAAGATAATGTTCTATCACGTTGTACAATTGATTCAAGTTTTGATGATCGTAATAAGAAACGGTACAAGGCGGTCGAACCTTCTATACGATGCTGTCGGTGACACGCTGATGTTGAATGACCTTGTAGATACTATTGTTAAAAGTAAACGAGAGAAAATGTAAGATCATATGAGAATAGAAGTCTTTCAACTTACCTGACAATCGTTATTTTTCTTGTCGTCATTAGCACCCATCTGTGAAGCTAATAATTCTAATTGTCGAACGAGTGCTTCTTCATGTTGTTTCAATTCTTCAATATCGGGTGTTTCATGAACGATTTGATCTTTATTGCTAGTATTGCCAGTTTGATTTTTTCGTGCTCTTGATGATTTTTCTCTTGATATTTGTTTTTGTTCTGCTGTTAAATTAAATTTGGATTCAGTAAAAGACTTGTTTGACAAATAACAACTGAGTTTCTCATCGTATAAGGATGACGGAAAACTTTTATTTAATTCAAATCGTGCATAGGAATCGTCGCACTGCGCTTTGACGACAGTAGCTGTGTGACAATTGTGATCCAGTGTTGGTGCATTAACTTGGTTCAACTGTTGAAAATGATTGTCATAGTACAGTTGTGATGTATCAGGGCGTTTATAACAATCTGTACCTTCCCTCTTAATAAGATCGACATGGTATTCTTGAGCATCAGATCCATACATACATTTTGCATCCATTGTGTTACTTGTATCCGCGTACATAGATGATATTTTAAGATACTTTTGTATATATTCAGGAGATAAATCTGCTGCACCATGTAGTATTTCCATAACAAAATTACACTATGTGAATATTGTTTTCAATACAGTTTATAGTACTTCTTTACGTATATATGCACAACCAAAATGTCTTTTGGTCTATAAGGACAATCGAGCGTATATATACTGGCTAAGACCTAAGTAAGGTTAGTGATTTTTTTTCCATCATTCATAGAATCATAGAGCGTAGCATGTCAGAGTATTCTCATTGATGCATTTAGAGGAAAGTCACAAAAGTTAAGGTGATTTTATTCATATAAAGTGAATTTCATCCAGATGTGCAGAAACGAGGTGTATGCTTTCTAGCTTCATCTGAATGAGGCAAAAGTAAAATCACGAACAGAAATCTTCTGCAGCACTAAGAATTTCATCATCACGTATAATTCCAGCGAACAGAGTTGACAATTTTTATCTTAGTTGAGATAAGCGAAAAAGAATGATGAGGGTTTCCTTGACTTTATAGCTGTGCAAATGTGAAATGAAGAGCAGAAAAACAATGCTTATTGATAGTATTCGAATCTGTAACACCTCTACTGCTTTCGATTCAAACAAGACATGCTTTCGTCGTTATATGTAAATAATAGATAGATGCTATCAACAGGAAAAACCAACTTACACTCACTTGTTTTTCTCTCTTAACCTTGGTTATTGTATAGAAATATTTGTTGCTCGTTTGTTGGAGCGTGCTCAGGACAACAAGCGAATCTTTGCTAGTACCTTCGACTCATGAACTCTTGACTGAGAACACACGTGTAAGAGAAATGTCTAAGCGTTTCATTTCAAAATAATATCTGGTGACTTTTTCGCGTCAGCTTCCAGCTTTGTGTTTTCTCAATCTGGAATGCGTCTATTCTAGAATGCCATGCTGCATTCAAGATTGCCATTCCGTTTTATGCAAACCGAACGTTTAGTTTAGTTCACAGGTAGTAATGGTACTTGTAAGAGAAACTATATGCGAAAACAAACAATTTACTTCAACACATTGCACGTTTTTCCTTCTTCTCTTCTGCGTGTATGTTCAACACGCGCACAACTAAGTATACAAGGAAAGTAACTGTTTAGCCGTCGGTTCTTTTCTTTACATCGAGAAGAGTAGCCAATAAACAAAATAACCTGTCATCCTGCTGTTTACTCGTTATTCCGCTACAAACTTAAAGTCTTTGCTTGTATTCATACCCAAAACAAAAAAAAATCTCTTATTCCCGAATGGCAGTCCACCATTCTATGGTGACAGTCCGTCATCCAGACAAATGTTTAAGCGTTTCATTTTAGAATAATATCTGGTGACTTTTTGCGTCAGTTTTCACCCTTGCGTTTTTCTAAAGACTCTGCAGAGACTTGTGTAACTAGTATCCATACAATGCAGTATGTTTAGTTGCTTGTACTTCTTCAGTTTTAGGTCCATCGCCCTTATGCTTCTTCTCGGCTTTTCCCACTTCTCGCTTGCTGGAGACATTAATTTGTACGATCCTAGCCAACTGCCCATGGAGCCATTTGAGAAAGGCACATCATGACTTCAAGTATGCACCTTCAAGTTGCACTGCAGGTTGTGATCGCCACCTAAAAGTAACGACTTTTTCTTCTTTATCTCTTTCTCTATGTACGATAGTGTGTGTATGTATCTATAGAAAGAGAAAAGGTCATGTTAATATGGTAGTGCAATGGTTCATGTCAAGACAAAGTGACCGTTATTTTAAGAACACTTTGGTCTCTGTTGAACTTTAAAAATTCAGCTAGGTTATTATGACTGTATTATCAATGCATGGATATCGACAGCAAAGTATTGTACCTTCACTTTGTTTTGTGCTGTGACAATACAGTATGTTTAGTTGCCTGTACTTCTTCAGTTTTAGCTCCATCGCCCTTATCAGACGTGCGCGATTACAATTATAACATGTAAAGTTCAACAATTTCTATTATCTGTAGCATTAAGAATTCTAGCATTCTCAACTTTACATGTATGTAAAGTTACTTGTTCAGAATTCTAAAATTCTTGATTCTACAGATAATAGCACTGTATGAACTTTACATTTGGGACTTGTAATTGCGCACCCCTCGTCCTTATGTTTCTTCTCGGCTTTTCCCACTTGTTGCTTGCTGGAGACATTAATTTGTACGATCCTAGCCAACTGCCCATGAAGCCATTCGAGAAAGGCACATCACGACTTCAGATATGCACCTTCAAGTTGCACTGCAGGTTGTGACCGCCACCTAAAAGTAACGAGTTTCTATTTAAAAGTAATCTTATGTACTTTCACAATTGCTGTCAGTACAGCAATGTTCTTGAGACAATCGAGCAAGAACATACAGCAACACATAAGGCATCTTCGGAGTGCTGTATCTATAGATTCCAGAGCACACGCCTTGTGAAGTAAGAACATCTATCCAGTCAATATTCTTCGTACAGCTTTTGGCATATGCTGCCTTCGCTAGGAATCACAGGATATATGGATTAGTAATCCAACGTATCTGCTTGCTCTCAGATACCGATCTTACAAGGAAGGACTAGTGATTATGAATGTTCATCTTTTCACAAATGGGGCAAATGTGAATAAAACAGTCACAAAAACAGACCACTACTTTCCGATGCTCCCCTCGAGATGTATGACAGCAAGCTTTAAGCTGTCTTGCTCGCTTGTCTCAGGAACATTGTTGTGCTGGGAATAAATGTGAAAGTACATAAGATTACTTTTAAATAGATGAATATGAGGTCATGATGTTTCTAAGCCTGATCTAATGGACTGTTCTCTTGTTTCAATGATGGTGTGACATTTTCTATAATAGTCTGCTTGATGGCCATATTAGTGTAGGAAAGTATGTAGAAAGGAGTGAAAAGAGAGAGGAGAAACTATCACCATTGCATTATACGATGATAGTATATAAAAGAAAGATGCACTCTTCACATGTGCAGATAGGTAGTCTACGTGTTTTTTTCTACGTATTCTGGATGACTCAAATAGATGAACTTGATTCAAATTTCATGTACACATGTATTCCGACTCAACACAGCGATGCGCATGAAAGCACAAGTTAGTAATATGGATTATGTGTTCGTTATCTGAATGGAGCGCATCATGACCCCATATTCATCTATTTAAAAGTAATCTTATGTACTTTCACATTTATTCCCAGCACAACAATGTTCCTGAGACAAGCGACCAAGAAAATACAGCACCGCATCACACGTTCTCGGAGCGCTGTATCTACACATTCCAGAGCACACGCTTTGCGGAATAAGAACATCTGTCACGTCAATATTCTTCGCACAGCTTTTAGTACAAACTGCCTTCGCTAGGAATCACAGGATATATGGATTAGTAATCCAACGTATCTGCTTGCTCTTAGGTACAGATCTTGCAAGCAAGGACTACTGATTATGTATGTTCATCATTTCACAAAGGAGCCAATTTCAAATAAAAGGGTCAGAAAAACAGATCGCCGTTTCCCGATGCTCGACTCGAAGTGTATGACAGCAGGCTTCTATCATTTCTTCCCTCATCAGTGCCTTCATATTCAGTTCGCACCTCCTCATCCTCGATCTGATGAATGTCTAATACTTCTAGAGATTCCTTTCGCTAAGTAAACGCCATCGACACGTCAGAGGTTCGCACACAAACTGGATTCAACTGCTCAAACTGTCACAGCGCAAAACAAAGTGAAGGTACAATACT